ATCAGATTACACACAGTCTGCCGTAACACATTCTGTAAAATTCGAATTTCATTGCCAGTGAAATTTGAACTTTTATCCTGCCATTTGGGAGTGTGACAACTTACCAACTTCACTAAGTCACCACACCCTTTTTTAATAAAAATTTATTACATATTCTTTGTTATAAAAAGATATAGTTTTAAAATATAAGTAATAAGACATTCTTGTACTAAATAATTTGTATTTTAAACTTTATTTCTTAAGCTACATCTAACTAAAAAGTCTAATAAGAACACAATCAATTTTATATTGTGCTAGTAATAACCTACTCTAACCCTAATCTTAAATTTTTTTATTGTTAATCATATTGCTTTTGTCATTCTTCTTCTTTTTTATATTAATTATTTAATATTAGATACTATTTTGGTTTTATATAGTTATTACTTCTATTTGTTTATATATATTTATTTAGTTATTTATGTTTTTCTATAGAAAATAAAATGCACAATAATTAAAAATTAAAAATTAAAAATTGAAAACTAGTATATTATAAGTTTAATTAATTAACAAGATAAACAATACTGATACTTTGAAACAGATTGCATTATGCAGTTATGTACCCTTTTATGTAAAATGGTTTTAGTGCTGTAAAATAATAAATCACCTTTCATTCCTAGTAAAACCCTGAATCTGTTCGCATATTATTAAGTAAAAAAATTTTTAGCATGTAAAATAAATTTTTTAAATAAAATTTTTTTTAAAAAAAATTCTAAAAAAATTAAAATCGTCGCCGGGGTCATTAAAGGTTAGTGCCTTATTTTATATATAAAATTTTTACGGATTGTGAAACAATAAAATTCATAAATAAAATTTTTTTATTAAAAAAAATTAAAATCCGGGCCGACGCGCCACGAGAGGTTAGGTGGTAATATTAAAAACGAAATATAAGAAAATTTTTATACATAAAATTTTTAAAAGGATCAGGTGACCGGATCTATTTCGGAATTTGATGAAAAAAAACTTTTATATGTCTTATATAAATTTCCGAAAATACATTTCCTTGATCAAGTTAATATGGCCATAAACTCGATTGAAATTCACCAACTTTAGCTCTAACTTTATATGAATTAATCAATATTATATACTTCGTTATTTGCTATAGAGACAAAGTATTTAAATAGATAAATTAAAATTATCATCTTTATATATTTGTAAATTAAAATTATTAAATACACATTAAATACACACGTGAAGTATTATAATCGTCATAAGAAATCGAAAAATCGAGAGTTGTAGAATCTAAAAAAATCATTAAGTAAAATTTTACCGATTAAAATTGAACATATATATTATAATAAGAGTAAATTATTTACCATAAATCTTTGGCGCAGGTGAAATAAATGAAGAATTAATTCGTTTAGAAAGGTTTTTAAAATTAAGCAGTTTACTTGTAAGTTTATCTTTAGGGTAAATTGGCAATTCAGTTGATAATGTTGGGATAATTGCATCTGCAGACTGGAATGCTTTTAATATTACTAATTCATTTTTATCTTTTGCAGCAGTATTATCTACTATATTATACCATCCTGATAATTTATGATAGATATCATCTGCAGTTGGTCTATTAAGAGGATTGGCATCCATACATTGATTTGCTAATTGAGTATAGCACTCAGGAGTGCCTTTAGCAAATTCAGGACGTAATCCATTACATATTTGAATAGCTAATGTTTCATCATACTCAATATCATAATGAGGAGGTCTTCCCGTGGACATCTCAGTCATAATAACTCCAAAACTATAAATGTCAGCAGCAATTGTGTATGATTGTTTACATAACACTTCTGGCGCAACATAAGGTAAAACGCCGTAAATACCATCTTCTAAATCTGAATCATCTTTCTTTCTAGATAATCCTAGATCTGCAATATAAGATATTAGATCTCCATTAACATATTGATTTTGCAATATATTACCGCTATGAAAGTCTCCATGGACATATTCTGCTTTGTGTACTTTTATTAAATTTTTAGATATTTCGACAAGCTGGCTTAATTTATTTTTCCAATTAAGATCTCTAAAATTTAAAGATAGGAAATTATGAAGACTGCCTCTATTGGCATATTGAAATACCACCAAATATTCATTATTAGTTGTGTCTTGAGTTAGTCCATAAACTTCAAGATTATTACCTACTAATCTAAATTCCGTGTAATTTTTAAACTTATGAAATAAAATAAAATTTATAATGTTAATCTATAATTTATTTATATTAGATTATAAATAAATCATTTTAACATACTTCTCTTAAAAAATTCTTTCGTGAGCCAGGTAAAGTTTTAAGCGCAACTACACATGATGGTGTACGTGATTGTATATAGTTACAAGTAGTACCTGAAATTTTTCTTTTACCATCTAACCATATTGCAGAAAATACTGTTCCAAACCCCCCTTTACCAATCATTTGAACATTAACTAATCTATTAAAAGGAATCCATTCGATTACATTTTCGTATTTCGTGGCTTTAAGTTGACATTCCTTAATGCAATCATCGATATCCTTATTTCCACTTGTCCATCCTTGTGTTGCCTTCTGTGGGTCACATGTTTGACACCATGCGATAGATGTGTTATTTCGGTTGCAATTTGCACATGTTCCATTATCATCAGATCTTTTATCATAAAATTCATCACATACTAACATATATTCATTCGTGGATGGGTTTTGAGTTAACCCATAGATAATTTTACCTTCTAATTGCATATGATCTTTAAACTTAAAATAAATAACAATATAAGTATAAACATAAGTACAAATATAATGTAAATATAAATATACACTATTAATTTATAATAAGAACTCACCTCCTTTAAAATATTTAGTGTATTTTGTGTACTACTCAATATTTTAAGTGTAATCGTGCATGCCCGTGTACGTGACTGTTTATATTTATATTCATTATCTACAAGTTCATAATATCGTAAACCATCTAACCAGGTTGCTAAAAATTTATCACCATAATTTTGAATATTAACTAATCTATTAAAAGGAATCCATTCAATTACATCTTCGTATTTCTTAGCTTTAAGCTGAAGTTCCTTAATGCAATCATCGATCACCTTATTTCCACTTGTCCATCCTTGTACTGTTTTCTGAGGATCACATGTTTGGCACCATGCTTCAGATGTGTTATATCGATTGCAGTTTGCACATTTTCCATTCATTGAATGCCTTCCAGAATCCAATTTATCAAACATTTAATGAAACATTCTATTGACGATTAAATGTGCGCAATATTTTAGGAATAAACCATATACTTACCGACTGGTATTTAAAGTGAAAAAACAGAATATTTAATAGAGAATTAAAAGAATTAAAAAGATTTAAATGCATAATAAATTAGGCCATGCAAAATTAATTAATTGGTTTCATAGCCTGCCGGGTAAATTTTAAGAACTCACAAAAGAATTTTTTATACGTTTCAATAACCGGTTGAGAGTTGAAATTTTTTTTAAAAAAAAAATTTCAAAAATTTTATATAAATTTTTTTTAAAAAAACCGGCCGTCCGAATCGGTTTAAAAGTATCATGTTATGAAAACCAAAACATCATATTATAATAAGATTAGAAATGAATTTACATTTTTTGATACAAATTTTCGGCCATTTGTAAATCTTTTGTTATTCCAATTCCATTTCGATAACAGTTGGCAAGGCTATTCATTCCGTTAAGATAACTCAATCCATTGGCATTTCCTATCTCAACAGATTTTTGATAATAGAAAAATGCTTTGTATTCATCCTTTTCAACTCCAATTCCTTTTTCATAGAAATAGCCAAGATTAAATATTCCATCGAGATTTCCCAATTCTGCAGATTTTTGATAATAATTGAATGCTTTATGTTCATCCTTTTTAACTCCAATTCCATCTTTGTAATAGTTGCCGAGTGCAAGCATTCCATCAGCGTTATCCATCTCTGCTGATTTTTGATAATAAATGAATGCCTTATGTTCATCCTTTTCAATTCCAATACCGTTTTTATAACAGTGGCCAAGATTATATGTCCCACCGGCATGACCCATATCAGAAGATTTTTGATAGTAAATAAATGCCATATGTTTATTCTTTTTAACCCCAATTCCATTTTGATAACAGCGGCCAAGATTAAATATTCCACTAGCGTGCCCTGCATTTGCAGATTTTTGATAGTACATAAATGCATTAAGATCATCTTTTTCAACCCCAAATCCAGTAAAGTAACAATTTCCAGTTTTAAGCATTCCATCAGGGTTTTCCATCTTTAGCAGATTTTTGATAATAAATGAATGCCTTACGTTCATCCTTTTCAATTCCAATTCCATTAGCATAACAATAGCCAACTTTAAGCATTCCATCAGAATTTCCCTTATCTGCTGAGCTTTGATAATAATCAAGTGCAGTGTGTTCATTTATTTGAACACCTACTCCATTTAGATAACAATTTCCAAGACCGATCATTCCAATGGTATCAGATAATTCAAATAATTTCCAATATTGATCAAATGCCTCATTCTCATCCATTTCAATTCCAATTCCATATTGGTAACAACAACCAATCTGAAACATTCCATCATAATCACCCATTTCAGCAGATTTTTTATAATATTCGAATGCCTTATGCTCGCCTTTCTGAATTCCAATTCCCATTTGATAGCAATCACCGGCTTGAAACATTCCATAGGAATTACCCATTTCGGCTGATTTTTGATAATAACAGAAGGCATCTTGTTCATCTTTATCAACGCCAATTTCATTTAAATACAGATGACCAAGATTATTCATTTCGTCCGAATCTTTCATATAATCTAATTTTATATAATTAATATATATCTTATGCAAATCCATCCTGTCTTCTTTTATACGTTTATATTGACTACCAACTTGATTTTTTGAAGTTGGTTCGACTGAATAAGATCTTCCTTTAATTAAATAAGGTTTATTATTAAATACTTGATGAGCTTAATTTACAATTTAATAATGTTTAAAGTATATACATACTTGGTTTAGTTAAGTGAAATTCTCGACCTATTTTGTTCAGATAAATTATTTCAGATGAATCAGTTATATATATATCAGAATTTTGGAGAATAAACCATTGGATTGAATATTTTGATGCTTTAGTTATGTTTTTTTCAGGTCTGTTGTCATAATTAAATTTTTCATGTTCAAAATCATCCATTTTTATATCATTATTATCATTACTATCAGAGTCTTCCTCATATTCATATTTATCATTTGATAAATCATCATTATTTTTATAGTTGTTCTTGGCTTCTGCGTCAACGTAATTGCTATTAGAACCTTTTCCAATAACATTTTCTTTATCAGAAATACTATTCTTATAAGCAAATTCAATATCGGCTGCTTTTAAGTCTTTATTAGAATATTTTTCTCTATTTTCATTATATGCAGAAATATCCTCAATATTAAGTACTTGATCGTCAAAAGATTTCGAATCTTTATTCGCATCTTCATTTTCAAAAAATTTCGGATTTTCGTTTACATGTTCATCGTCAATAGAATTCGAATCTTCATTATTCTCTTCATCGTCAGAAGATTCATAATCACGACAGTGTATATTAAATAAAATTTTATTATTTTGATAGCTTTTTATCTTTGCTATGAACTTCGGTTCATAATGTGAAGGTGGATATTTAAATGAGACAATAATAACAGAATCTTGTGGCAAATTTTCCGGAATTTTCAATACAATATTACTATTATTTGATATTAATGCAAATGGTTCATTACCAGAACCAAATATGTTTATTTTTCGTGTATATGGGCTAAAATATCCAACCTCAGCGGGTATTCCAATTAATACCCAAGCAATTTTTGGATTTTTATATGTGAACTCACTAAAAATAAGAAATTAGTACATTGTTTTAAATTAAAATTAATTGAAGATTCATATAATAAAAACTTACTAATCTTCTATGAAAATAAAAAATCCATATGTATCCATAAAATCGAATTTGATTATTACATCATCAATCGGTTCATCATCTTGTGTAATAAATTTTCCAAAAACTTGATAATTATTAGATTTAAAACGATCAGGAAATTTTACACTATATGAATAGGGAGGGTCTTTAATTGGTACTATCCCTGCCATAAGAACTCTTTCTTTTATATTGGTTCTATTAACAGACTCAGGTTGGTTACTTATAGTGAATTCAGTTGGTCTACTAATCCCAAGAACAGACTCAATTTCTTGGCGAAGAGAAAAGTCAAAAATTTCATATAACGGATATAATTCTTTGCAACCAATAACTTGTAATGAATCAAGATCACTCTCTAAACAAAATTTAATCCACTCTTTTATTTTATTTTTCATAATCAATTCACCATTAATTGATACAAGGTAAGATAAATCAAAATTATAAGAACTCATCCAATTTTCCCATTGAATCAAAAGATCATCGAATTCACTCTCCGAAAAATCATCAGGAGGTTTCCATTCTGGATTATTACCTTCATGATTATGTTCTGTAAAGTTTTTTCCTATGGTTAGATAAGTCATTCCATATATTTTATGGCCGAGAATTATCTTTTTTGGCAAAAAATAGCCATGATTATTAAATACATCAACTAATTTGTGGTAAGGGTCATGATGTTTCAAAGCTTCTTTTACTTTATAAGTTAATTCATCAGACGGCCTTATTGTTTCTTTTCAATAACCAATTCGACTTTTGTGCATCGTACTATTAGAAAAATATCATTTGTAGGAGATTCGTCATCTAGAAGGGTCATTACAGAATTTATGGTCTCATTGGTATCAAATATCTGGCTAATATGCTTTAATTCATCAGCAGAAAGCTCAATGTGATTTTTTAACAAAAAAGACTCTTTTTTTGTTGAAGGATTCACTAGTTTTGCATGAAATGATATATTTTCTATAGGATCATTTTTATGCTGCGGCTCATTATAAGCTATAAAATCCGAAAATTGTACTTGATAATTAATCCGCGATTAAAGTTTGAGGAATTTACGGCAATCATGTTTCCTACCACTTGATGATTTCAAAAACAGGTGTTACGTATTAAAACAGCCTTTTTTACAATTTTTCAAAAAAATTTTTATTTGATTTTTGAATAGATATACATTCAATTAAAAAGTTTGCTATAAATTATGAAAAAATTTTGAAAAGCTAATAATATAATAAAAAGCTTCACAGAATAAAATTTTTAAATTGAATATTTTGTTTTACTATTTTGTAGATTATCGCTTAAAATATGTAAAAAGGGCTGTTTTCATAACACCCTATATACATATTATTAACCCTACTCAATTTTGTTGGATCGTTTTGGTCGTGTATGTACCGGTTTTTTGCTATTTTTGGCTCCCAGTGCTTAGGTCTTTCCGGTTTTTTTTATACGCCTATTTATTCTTTGATGTAAGATCGTCAAGATAATTTCCTCGTAATTATGTAAAAGGAATGATCTACACCTACCATTTTTTATGATAATATGGTACTAGATGTTATTGTTAGATCGTTCTAGTATAGTTCGTTCTGGTACAGTTCGTTCGTTCTAGTACTAAGTACTAGATGCAAGACTTCGCTCGCTGTATGTGCTGGATGTGGTAGATTTAGGTTTGTAAATTTTCATTTTATCTGTTTTTTTGTATTTTAATAAGACTTGTTTGTCGAATTTTTCGATTTTTTGTTTTTTTTGAATCGTGTTTTTTGCCGGGTAGATGATTTGATAATCGTTGATCGTCGAAGACCAAAAAGAAAGTTCGTGACGAAAGTATTTAATTTTTTTTTTTTTTTTGTGTATGTTCAATCAATACTTGTGGTGTAGTACGTGACTGGCGAAGTATGTTTATGACTGGTGTTGAACTTATCGACACAGCGTGGCTGGTGTTAACCTTGTATTATTTATTGCATGTTTTAGGGCTGTGTTGGTATTGAGATTCATATACGTGTTTAATAAATAGTTTCTATGTGCCGTTTGCATTGGCATTAACGTTCTATCTAAGCCTTATCAAAAGCCTCACGCTTATCGTGTGCTTGTTAAGGTATGATTGCAGCGTTTATTTTTTGTATAAAAATAGTATTTTTTTTTTAGAATTTGAATTAAAATAAATAACCATGCCTGGTACTATTACTGTGCTTTGTTATGTAACTGACTATCAGTTAAAACCTGGCAAAAATATTTGTGTAGTTGAAGCTTCGGGTTTTATGAAATCCCGAAGTTTATATTCACCTTTAAAAATCTTTTTAAAAGGTTTTTATCTTCAGAATGCAACCAGAGAATTTAGTCTTCCCTCATTTGAAAAAGAAGATGTGATTCTCGCGACTGGAAAATTTCGTGTGCTTCAATATATAAATGATAAAAACGAAAAACTTCCTTCTTTGAAAGTAAGTCAGTGTTTCCTATTTTTGGTAATGTGTATTGATAATAGCATGGGTCTTTTTTGTCTTAACATATTGTTAGTGAATGTTAAATATGTTGTTTGTTGTGTTCGTTGAATGATATGTAATTTTAAATTATGTTTTTAATTGACTTGATGATTTAAATTATACGGTACTATGTACAGTATAATGTCTTCGCGTTTACTAATTTCCCCGATGTTCATTTTCGACTAATCACAGCGCAATATTGGGTGTAACGTGACAATTAAAGCAACAACTCCTCTTTTTTTGTAAATTCGCATTTGTCTCAAAAATTCGACAAATAAATCACTTTTAGTGCACTGATAAAAAAGATTCATTGCAAGATTTTATTATGATATGCTCAATAACACTGACGACAAACCCTGACTGTAATGCTGTGTTGTTTGTTCCCCAAGTATTTTAGACCATGCAGTACAATACAACATCTGCAATATATATGTGATATACTAACTGATGATGTGTATTTTTTCTATGTTGATTATAAATGTGCAAATATGTGTATAGGTCATTTTAAGTGACCTTGTGCGTTTCGATCTAGATCCGGAAGACCTTCCTAAATTTCCTGCTTTAATTAATATGACTGCGCTGGTACAAGAACTCCCGAATATCGATGGTGAAGATGTGTTTATGACAGTCTTGATGACTGACCATATAGATCAGGATCAAAATGATACTAAAATTATCTGTCATTACCTAGCGTCTGCGCCCCATTTGGTTCGCGTTACTCCGACTATAAAAAAAAATTCGCTTCTCTATATTAACGGTGAATTCATTGTGCATAATGATAAAAACTATGTACTCGTTAAGAGTATAACTTTTTCTGGTTACCAGAAAGCGCTAATGGGTATGGATAGCTCTTCGAAAATTCCCTGGGAACCCGATGTTTCTGACAAGTCAAATAAAACTGTTAGTTTTGCTGAAACTATAGAAGCAAGATTTAATAGTAAAGTTGGAAACAAAAGATCGTCTACAATTAAACCATCTCAAACTAACCCTTCATTAGTAGCCAATACTTCGTCTATAACTAACCCTTCATTAGTAGCCAATGCTCCGTCTGCGACTAACTCTTCGTTAGTGACCGAACTGCCTTCAGCGATTAGGTCTTCATCAGTAATTGAATCTTCATCCGTGACTAAATCTTCATCTGTGAATAAGCCGTCTACACGAACTAGGAGCAAACGCAAACTATCGGACTTAGCAAAAGACATGTTAACCGATTCGACCGAATTAGATCAATCCGAGTGAATGTGTAAGTGTGCTATATATACTATTACTTGCTGCAAATGTTACAACTTTTTTGTAGCACAATTAGGATGTGACTTATGTATATATTTTTAGTATTAATTATATATTAACTAAATAGATCTCTTACATCAACAAGTCTTTTTTTATAAATTTTATGTAGTTCTATAAGGTTATGTAAATATTGTATAAATTTTTATATAGATCTACAGATCCAATATAAGTTTATGTAGTAAGGATTTTTAAGTATAAACTACATCTTTTTTTTTTATATATAATCTTGTTTATTGTTTATAAAAATGTAAATCTAAATAGATTTTATTTATATGTTTGTAAAAATACTTTGATTTACTTCAACTATTTCTCAAAAGTACTAAGCAATCACTAATTGATGCACTAAGTAAAAATATCTGGCGTATTCAAAAACCTTTCCAGACCTTCTTTTAAATCTAATCTTAGCTTTAATATTCGAGTTGGAATTTTTTGCTTTACATAATTCTACATAATTAATTCTACATAAAAATGCCTTCGTGATTTAAGTACTTCGTTTCTATCTTCGTTATTAGTTATTATTAGGATTATAACGATGAAATTAAATATAAATACTAATTGTTTATTTATTATTGATTAGAAAAAAAAAAATAAATAATTGCAATAAATCTTAGATTTAATGTTAATAACGTATAACCGGTTCGATTTCAGTGCATCATAATGTATTTCCTGATCAAGATAATCGACTCGAAATTCTTTGACATTCCGTAGTACATATAACATGCATAGATATGCGTAATCCATTTGCCTTATATTATTTTTTATGACCGTGCCTTGTCGTTTTAAGAAATATCAAGTTATACTTCCTGTTAAGAATCTTAGAATCATGCTTCGATCTTTTGTTTGTTACTACATGGATTCCTATTATATCAACAATTATTAACTGCGACATATTATTACTAAATAAATAAATAAATCATATTTTTCGATTATTCATTACCTATTATGTTAATATACATAAATCATTCCCTTTGTTAGGTATTTCTACTTAACATTGCCACTATTCATCAGGAAAGTTATCAACTTGCGGCGCATTAACAAATATAATAAATATCGCCGTGATCTTTATATCTCGCCTAAATCATACAATCATCTCTCTTTTGATTTCTCCTGTTAATATTTAACCAAAAAAATCATTTTGCTTTAAATATGTCGTTTCACATCCATACAATTTTTGAAATTGAACCTTTAGAATATAATGAACAAATAATTGATCTTACCTCTGATCTTATCTCTCTTGACGATAATAACTTACAACCAATTGATCGAAATAATTCTTCGTCTAATAATCAATCCTGCTCGACGTCAACATGGGTTATGTCTGCAAAAATGCGAGCAATAGTAAATAAATTCGAAGATACCATTTTAACCCAATTTCCGTGCGTTCCATGTTCTATCTGCTCCAAACTCATGTATCCAGAAAAATCGTTGTGGATTCAACGAGATCCCAATTTTTTATATCCACTATCGAATTATACCACGTTAGTTACAAATCCTAATCCGCCAATAAATCGAATTGCGATATGTCCACTGTGTAAATCAAATACAACCCGCAATTATCCTCCGTATCTCCTTTCAATTCCACCAGAAATCGATGCTGTACCCTTGGGAAAACGTAAACACCTATCTCTTATCTTTTTACATTGTTCTCTAGGCCGTACACCCGGGGCCAATCCATTCTCTGAATACAGAACCTTAGTGGGTACTATGAATTATTCACAAAATTTACATTCGCTGAGTCTATATTCAGGTTTATTAGGTGCTTATTTGGATTCTCCGGCTTCTGATCGATCTACAATTCCACCTTGGCTCGATAATTCTTTAATAAATGCTGCTGACTGGCTTAAAGAAAATAACCCTTATTTGCGTCAATATTCATCGATGCTCCCATCACTTTCAAATACGAATCTTCGTTTTCCTCTAGCCACCCACTCTTCTATTGATGAAAATACTCCCCCTTTTCAATATGGTGATATAATAGTTCCTCATCAAAATTTTCCTTCTGAGATTCATAACGAAGACACGTATTATCATCGTCTAATAGCCGGTTTCATTACAAATGATAATATAAATAAAATTCCTATTTCTTTAAATGATCCTAATCTTGAACCGTTGCTCTTCCCAGATTTATACCCTGACGGTCATGGACATTATTATGAGATGCGAACTCAGTTGGAAAACGTACGGATACGCCACGATACTTTTGGAAAATATGTAAAACATCGTTTACTTTCCAAAGATCCTCGATTTCGCTTGCATCATCACTGGCCAGCATGGGCATATCTTCAATTGGAAAAATTTAGAAATTTTCAGAATACACAGCGACTAATTTGACAATCCACTACTAATCAAACTCATCGCTTACCTACAGCTATTGATATTATCGAACGCAGCACTTATACTAATGGCTGGCATTATAATGAAGTAAAAACTTCCCTGATTCCTACATTTATTCGCACTGGAGACAGTTACTTCCAGAAAAAAAATATGCATTTGAGCACAATGATTCGTGAACTTAACCTCCCTACGTTATTTATTACGTTATCGATGGCTGAAGGTTCATGGACTCATCTCCGTGATATACTTATCAACACTGATAATCACGACCCACTACCGACCAACAGACCTTTACATACAACACTACATTTCGTTCACAGATTACAAAATCTTAAGAAGTTCGTTTGGAAAGATCCTGACGTTAGTGAATGGGGAACTTACTCCCATTTTTTTGACAGAATAGAATTTCAGAATCGTGGTGCCGCACATCTACATGGTGTTTATTGGACCACTTCAAATATATCAGAAATGATCAATTCAAATTCGATTCGATCCACCCTGCCAGACCCTAATTTAGAACCAGAACTTTACCAAAAAGTTCGCGCTTTCCAGATACATACTTGTAATTCTAAATGCAGAGGGCCTGCCCTACCAGACTCAAGATATAAAAAAGGTTTTTCCCGCCCGATTTCTGATTGCACATTCTACGATCCAAGCAATTATAGATACACTTATCGATGCATAACACCTGAAGACCAGTGGGTAATCCCATATCATGCACCTACATTAATGATATGGAATGCTCATATGAACGCCCAATATATCACAAGTAAAGGGCTCGCTCGCTATGTAACAAAATATATAAGTAAATCAGAACCAACTCATTTATTTAACATTCGTGAACAAATACATTATCGAGAATATATTCATGCTCGACGAATGGGTACAATGGAACTGATGTTCTTACTACTTGGCGAACGTATCGTAAATTCATCGATACAAGTTCAATACCTTACAACAGATCCTCCGAATGTTCGATCCAAGGCAATTCTTCCGTTGCATATGATCAATTCTTTTGATGACGACCCTTACTGGACTGACAAAATTGAAAAATACTTTGCCAGACCACAACATCCTACATTCAATAACATGCTATATAGAACTTATTTCGAATTATATGATATTAAATCAACCCGACCTAACACTAAAAAAACAATATATCGAGATAATCTTGGAAATTTTGTTGTTGAACGTACTAATCGTATACTCACCCGCATACGATTTCTAAGGTTAGAACATGGCGAATTATTCTTTTATCAACAACTTTTATTGAGACTCCCATTTAGATCAGAAGAAGAATTACTTAATAATCACCAAAATTACAGAGACCATTTCATAGATCAATTTCCTGACTTGTTTCGATTAATTCAAGAACAAAATCATGAATACATACTTAAACAAACAACTCATGCCTTAGAATATTTTACTTCTCTTATTGAAGTAATAACTTCTTCATTACATTCGATCTTAACGACGGATATTCTTGATGTGATTAAAATACAACTAAATTCCATAAAAATACTACCACGAGTAATAACTACTAACTCGATGATCAACTTACCACCAAGTCAGTATTACTGCCTCCAAACCATAACTAATTATCTAGGTCAGCGAGATGGATCACATTATCCTTTTTTTTTTATCACAGGATCAGCAGGAACTGGTAAATCCTATATAATACATTTAATACTTGAATATCTACAAAAAACTCGCCGTAACTATTTATTAGTGGCACCTACCGGCGTAGCTGCCCAAAATGTTGGTGGTTCGACGATACATTCTGCCCTAAGAATTATTTCTAATGAATGGGGATTTCGTACTCTTGCGTTTTATAATCAAGATTTTAACGATCATCTCCTCCAAATCGATACACTCATCATTGAAGAAGCCTCTATGGTATCAGATCAACTCTTGACATATATTTCTGAACTATTCGAGTCGTTTCACAAGAACAATAACCCATTTGGGGGTATCAATGTCATTTTAGTCGGCGACCTAGCCCAATTACCTCCAGTTTCTGGTTCTCCTATTTACCGATCTCCGATATGGACCATTTTTTATCCACTATTTCTTCGTGAACCTCAAAGACAAAATCAAGACACACAATTTTATGATCTTCTACAAAAAATTAGATTAGGTAAAATAGACGATGCGACGTGGCGCACTCTAACCCAAAAAAAATCTGAAACTATCAGATCATCAGAACTAGAAACTACGCTTAACACTACACATATAGTAGGTTATCGAGAAAATGCCAACTTAATTAACAGAATTATATTGATGATGATCCCTACTCAAGAAAATAAATTCTTGATTTCTCACTCTATTGACATGATTAACGATCAGATATGTAATGATAATTCAAGATTTCACGAATTTAAAAACAAAACTAACTTACCAGAAACAATTAGAATTCAACCTGGCGCAAGAGTTATGTTTCTCAACAACTCTCAGCACTGCCATCGAATAGCAAATGGTACCATAGGTATCGTTACAGATCTAGATCTAGACTTAAGTCTTGTCTATGTCAATTTCTGTGTCGAAGGAGCTATTATAAATGTTTCTTTTTCTAAATACA